TCACAGCTGTGTGTGAAATGCTGCTGTCAGGGTCAGTAAGAGCTGATTTTAGATGTAATCTCTACACTGGACACCTGCTGTACCTAAAGACAGAATCTAGAAGAGGGAACTCTGGGAAGTGGAGTTTTTTACAGCATCTAAAAAGGATCTGTTGAATCGTCTGCAGTCAGTAAAGAGCAGAGAAGTGAGCTGTGATTATTCACTAAACTCTGACCCGTCCGTCCGCTCTCCAATGAGTGACACATATGATATAACAAGTAAGGACTTCAGCTCATATGTATATATATTTACACTTTATACACAGAAATCTTTTTTTATTTCTTAATATAGTAACCTTTCATTTGTGTAATATAGGTTTGTGTTTCATGTTTTTTCAGATCTGCTTCTTATTGTAATGAAGAGAAATATGCCACATAATATTTATTGAATATTTACTGAAATAGTCCAGTTATTTATAGATATTCTGCAACAATAATATTTTACATCTCTTTTATTATACATTTAATGCAATAGTCATGTGTATTCCATTTCTGTTTTGTTAGATTTGCTCCCTACATCAACACTGCTGTCAACAACAGCAGAGAAATCTACTGCAGGTCAGTTTATTCTTCATCTCTCTCACTGCAGAACTCAGTTAGAATATCAGAGCTGCTCTTTATGAGGAAACATGAAAGGTGTTTACTGTGAGATTGTGTGATGTATAGTTTGATTTTAGGACTTTTGTTTTTCCAGTAGAACTTTGTTATTGCAGAATCCAGTGACGTGAACCAGCAAGTGGGTGATTAAACAGGGAGGATAAGTCATTTATATTTGGAAGGATTGGGGTTTTACAGTAGCAGAGAAACAGGCTGTGTAAATCATTCTCTGTTGTTTTTAATAGTGGCTTGAAGTTGAAACAACATAACCCTGACATTGTGGACGATATAGTGATGCCTACCTATTTAATACTGCCGATAGAGATGGGATGGGATAGGTTTTGGGATGTAGCATTACAACCCCCCTCATTTCTAGGAAGAATGAGAGACTTATTGCAGTTAATTGAATAAGTAGATATTTTGGAGGTCTATCTATGAGTGTTATTGTCTTTTACAGAGATTTGAATGGATCCTATAGGTATAACACTACATCGTCTGCATAGAGAGTAACCCTGTGTTGTATGGTAATACCTTTCATGTTATTGTTCTGTCTAATTGCTGCTGCTAGTAGTTCTATAGAAATCGTAAATAAAGGAGATACAAGGATGTTCTCTCTGGTGCTTCTATGCAGTGTAAAGCTCTGTGAAGTGGTCTCAGACTTTTAGACCTGTAATGTCAAGGAACAGACTCAATACTGGATCCAAGCGTAAGCTGACTTTATTTCAGCCAGAGAGTCAGAAAAACAGTCTGAGGCAACCAAAACAAAGAGGAAATCCAAAAATCGGAAAAAGCCAGACAAGCAGTAAGTCAAAGAATGTGAAAAACACCAAAAGCAATAAGTAAGAAGGCTTAGAAGTGCAGAGAATGACCGGACAAGACTTCACAAAGACCCCAGTCACAATACAAGCTATATATAGAGACAGTAATGAGAAAACAAGCTTCAGGTGATAGTCAGCCATTAAAACTCGGGAGAGTGTGACCTCTTCAGGCGGGGAGGGGAATCTCCAGCCAAGAATGTGACAGGACCTTAGAGTGTATCATGAAAAAGCATTCAGTAAAGTGGTGTTTAATGTGTTGTGGAGTGAAACCCTTCTTTTTTATTTGCAGCTTCTTCTTTTGAGTTTATTTGATTTTACTAATTAATTCATATTTAATAAGCCCAAATGCAAATCTAAGAAACATACTTAGGTATTTGGCTTAAGTATTCATTTTCCTTTTGTTAGATTTGCTTCCAACATCAACACTGCCCCCCATAACAGGAGAGAAATCTACTGCAGGTCAGTTTATTCTTCTCTCTCTCACTGTAGAGCTCAGTTAGAGTATCAGAGCTGCTCTTTATGATCTACTGTCTGATTCTCTCTGCATCGTCTGATTGTGGATCTGTATGTTGCAGGTTCCTCTACACACTTCATCACCACAACGCAGTCAACAAATAGTGAGTAACTGAACGTTTTTTGGACAGTTTATCAAGAAAAGCCGCATTCTTGAAAGTGAAGTTTAATGCATTGTGGAGTGAATCCCTTCACACGTTCTGAAGCTTCTTCGTTTAGATGTTTATAGCGTTTATTATTGATTTTGCTGATTTATTTAATACATGAAGTCCATATGTATGTCCATGTACATGTCCAGACTTATTAAATATATATACAGGCTTAGGCATTTGTTCTATTTGTTAGCTTTGTTCCCAGCACCAACACAGCCGTCCACAACGGAAGAGAAATCTACTGCAGGTCAGTTTATTCTTCTGTCTCTCACTGTAGAGCTCAGTTAGAATATCAGAGCTGCTCTTTATGATCTACTGTCTGATTCTCTCTGCATCGTCTGATTGTGGATCTGTATGTTGCAGGTTCTTCTACACACTTCATCACCACAACACAGTCAACAAATAGTGAGTAACAGAAGGTTTTTAATGTAGCACTTTAAAGCCTCAAAACACTTTAACACACATTTCCTTCATTATAAATCAGGCACTGTGATATTTATCCCTAAACATTTCTCTGTGGTGTGTTATGAAGTTTCATTACTTGTTTATCACTTTTAGCAGGTTTATCTGTAACTTCCTACAACTCATCTACACATCATTTTGCTCTAAACTTAGAATCACATTGTATTTCTCAGCATCATTTCAAATGTGTTAATAAATAGAACATACCTTGGAAATGAGTATTTTTCTCCGTGAAAACTTTTATGGTGTGTTTATGTGGATGTTTTTCTTTCTCAGCAGCTTCTTCTGCAGTTCCCACACTTTACAGTGAGACCACACTGCCCTCTACAAGCTGTGAGTGTCTGACTCAGCCCTTCCTTCTGCTGACATAAACTAGTAAGAAGTAACACCAAAGCAGCCGTGGCTCCATGTTTCTCACAATGTTCCTTCTTTATCAGCTCAGCCATTCATAGCAGAAGAGAGAATGACTCTGAGTGAGTTACTTTCTTTCCGCAACTGATACTAATATTTATATATTATACTGAAGTCCTGCTGTAATTATGGTCAGGATGTCTTTTCACTGAAGTTTCAGTTACAGAAGTCTCATTTGAAATATTCTCTGTCTCAGTGTGGCGGCCTGTAGTACTGTGTGTCAGTGCTGCTGGACTTTTACTGATTGGACTGACCATCTGGATCTGCACATTATCCAGTGAGTTCACATTTATTTATTTTTATTTTTATTTTAGTAATATATTGACTGCTTTACTTATTGCAAGCTTCAAATCCATTTACAGATGCTGACGAGGCAGTTTACACAGTGGTCATCTACAGCCTGTCCACTAAGGAGCAGTTCCCAGGATAAAGCGCCAGTTTCCTCATAACAATGGACAGCGAATAGAAAACTGGTCATTTTTCACACTTGATTTGTTTGAAAAATGGTTAGTGGACAGTCATCATTTATCATTAAATGCATGGTGGGTCTTCAAGAGACAACATTAGGCTGGTCCACCTCATATCTTAAGGACAGAACTTTGAAATTTCCCATCACCTGTGGTGTTCCTCAAGGTTTAATTGTAGGTCCTCTTTTATTGTCTCTGTATATGCTTCCTCAGGCTCCATCTTCCAAAAACATTATGGGCCAGATTCATATAATTTGCCATGACATTAAGAGCAAATAGAGTGATGGTAACAGATTTATAAGGAATACAGGTGTGTTTTATTGTGGCATCATGGCAAACTGTTTAACTGCTGTTGTATTAAGATGATTTCAGATTCCCAAAAATTTTTGCCATAAAAAATTGAGGTGTTACGGAGAAACACATTATTTACAGATTCCGCTCACTCTTTCAGCTGGCACTGTATTTAACCCCCCCACCCCCCCCACCCCCAACCACTGTGTGAAAAGTAAGTCTAGCTTGTAACCCAAATAATGAAGAGTAATTTGATGTGTAGTTTGTAATTGTGTTCAAATTGACTTTACTGCCAGCAATTTCAGCTCTTCATCCTACATGTCAATTTACAAAATGTGATTTTTTTTTGTATTATTATTTATAGATTTAATTAATTCAGCCAAAATATTTTATTTACTAGTAGAATTTTATTTTTACTATGTGTGTTTTAAATTCCTGATATCAAATTTTTTAAGAAATAAAATGGTAATTATAATTTCAGCTTGTCAATTTTATTTTATTTAATAAAAATACTACATGCTAAACTTTAATTCATGATAGCAAAAGTATGCAGGAATAGTTATTAATGCAGTGCAATACTACACCTTTGAAATGTCACCTTTAAGCACCTGGACACACTTTTTCACAATAAAACATCAAAATACACTGATTTTTCCAGTCCTCTCTTCTAGTTTATAACAGCTTCTTAGTTATGGTCCTAATGGTGGGATCCAATATTTTTGTTTTTGACAAATGTTACTGAAAAATAGAGGATTTTTTCTGAAAGAGTCTGTACATAAACACTGTACTTGTATTATATAATAGTATTCAATTCCAAAGCTGTGATGTCCTCTAGTGGACAACATGAGTTCCTCCTCTTCATGAGGGGAGAGTGATGGAGGTGCAGACAGAGCAGACTCTGAATTAAATATCTGTCTGATTAGGGGTCTATATGTAATGTCTTAGCAAACAGTTTTTCTACTCACAATTTTTGTGGATGTGCATGTTGGACAGAGAGTCACACTCACACTGCTGAACACAGACCACAATTCTCTGATCAGAAGATCTTGGTGTCATTATTTCACTGTAAACTGTATAAATGGTAAATTATGTTATGTTTCTGTAGAGCAGGAAATATTCACACATTACAGCTATTGATTTACTTTAGTGAAGTGTGAGATGATCAGAACCCAGAAGAAGAGCTGAAGAGAAACTAATTGTCAGTTTTAAAACCAGAAGTGATCAGTAGTGGTTTTCCTGTCGCTCTGTGATCTGTGTGAGTGAAGCGTCTCTCTTCTCTCTTGGTGATGGTGAAATGGCTCTGTTCATCCTCCTCTCCTTCTGTCTGATTCTGGAAGTTCATCCTCAATGTGAGTCTCATTTATCAATTTGTGCATTTGATTCATTATGTTGCTTTACTTTGAAGTTATTATGCAAAAGTTCCAATAAAATGCACCCTGTAAAAATCATCCCTGATGGATGGACTGTTACATCTTATGATACAATCAGATGCTTGTGATGAATTTGTCCTCAATTCCAGATGTTTGTAGAGCTGCTTGTGTCAGACAGATGGTTAGATTACAATAGGAAGTAATAACATTTAATAGACTTGATTATATACAGTCTGTATCTAGTTGTTTTAATGAAGGGTCTATATGTTGCAGATGTTCCTCAGCCCCAGCTGGTGGTCTCTTCTACAGAGAGAGGGTCAGTACAGCTGGACTGTAAGACTCTGTATGCTGGAGTGTCTCAGTGTTATTTCTATCCAGAGAGAGACAAGACAAATCTAAAACACTCTGCATCCTGTCAGCTCTCACTCACTGACTCTGAACTGACGAGGTGGACAGGACGCAGTTACAGTCCACCTGAACCAGTCAGTGTTATTTGTTTCTACACTGAGAGTAAATCAGGACTCTCTAAACCTTCTCCTCACTCTCTACCAGCTACAGTCACAGTCCTGGTCCTGGGTGAGATACTGAGTATTGTAATGTGTGTAGTGTCTGCTTATTTCAAATTATTTCCAATTGACTGGTCTAATGAAGCGGCACGGTGGCGCAGTGGGTAGCGCTGTCGCCTCACAGCAAGAAGGGCCTGGGTTCGATTCCTGGCCAGGCGACCAGGGTCCTTTCTGTGTGGAGTTTGCCTGTTCTCCCGTGTCTGCGTGGGTTTCCTCCGGGTACTCCGGTTTCCTCCCACAGTCCAAAAACATGCAGTCAGGCTGATTGGACACACTAAATTGCCCCTAGGTGTGTGTGTGTGTGTGTGTGTGTGTGTGTGTGTGTGTGTGTGTGTGTGTGTGAATGTGAATGTGTATGTCTGTCTGTCTGCCCTGCGATGGACTGGCGACCTGTCCAGGGTGTATCCTGCCTTCCGCCCAATGACAGCTGGGATAGGCTCCAGCACCCCACCGCGACCCAGAAGGATAAGCGGTTTAGATGATGGATGGATGGATGGATGGATGGATGGTCTAATGAATTATTTTACATGATTGGTCTAGCAGTTATTCATTCAACACCAAGATTGTGTAACGGTGTTATTTATCACTTTGCAGATCAGAAACCAGTAATGAGTGTCCGTTATGACAGTCAGTATGAAGAGTTCACAGCTGTGTGTGAAATGCCGCTGTCAGGGTCAGTAAGAGCTGATTTTAGATGTAATCTCTACACTGGACACCTGCTGTACCTAAAGGGAGAATCTAGAAGAAGGAGATCTGGGAAGTGGAGCTGCAGTTTTACATCATCTAAAACTGACCTGTTGAATCATCTGCAGTCAGTAAAGAGCAGAGAACTGAGCTGTGATTATTCACTAAACTCTGACCCGTCCGCCCGCTCTCCAATGAGTCACACATATGATATATCGAGTAAGTACATCAGCTCATATGTGCATTATTCATACACTTGTAGTGTGTTCATTTTATTCTGCATTAATGTTATGATTAAATGTATTTCCTGTTTTTAAGTGTTTGTGTTTCGTTTAGATTTAATTCCTGTACCAACACAGCCGTCCATAACAGAAGAGAAATCTACTGCAGGTTAGATCTTCCTTCAGCTTCCACAGTTTACTTGGAATAAGAAGGACCACCCTTTATAATGTATTGTGTATTATATGTGCAGTTTCTTTAGTTTCCTCCACACTTTTCGTCACCACAAAAGGCCCAACAACTAGTGAGTAACAAGTTTTCTTGCATAATTTTCCACTTACAAATACTCTGCTAACATTTCTAGGAAATGCTTTAATGATTCCTTTCACAAACATATCTGTTTAAGATGTTTCTGTGTTGTATTCTAAACAGCTGTGTCACTCTTAACAGGGTTACCTGTAGTTCCCAGTTCATCTATTGTGACCAAAATGTCCACTATAGCCAGTGAGTTATTGATTCAGTCCTTACTAATCTCAAAATAAACTGCAAGATAAATAGTTTACAAGCATCCATTCTTATTCAGCATAAATTAAATAGTCAAAGTTAAGAAATAAAGTTCTTACATGTCTCTGAGCTTCTCAAATCAGAGCCAGTAATGTCTTATTTATACTGTACATTTTGTCCCAAACACTGTTAATCATCACTGTCAGAATTCAATAATTCCCCCTAAAATGAGTCACCTGTCTAAGTGAGTTAATTTCACATTTAAAAACTCTTTAACTCAGTGGAACCACTGGTGGTTCCAAAGCGCACTTCGTCGTATTCTTTACTTCATAACTTTCATATTTCATAAGCTACATTCTAAAGGTGGGGGTCGTATGAGAGCTGTAACTGTCTTCTTTCCAGTCAAATAGATGGGTGATGTAATTTTAAACCCTTATAATAAAAGAAGCTAAACTCACATTTTTTTTTTCTACTGAAAGTCGACCCGTTTTTCCACAAATCTGGGCTATAAACTATAAACAGATGGCGTCTCTTCAGTGATCTGCTCTGTAAAAATTATTTTAATAAAAAAAATACAAAGAGTCTCAGACTTTTGGCTTTCAGCAATAAATCGTAAGCATATAGCAATATGTTTCTGATCATAAAACACATTTTTTGTTAATTTAAGGGGAGCTTTTACAAAAAACAAACAAACAAACAAAACTTTACTATTATTTTATACAGTTACTGAATAATTTACCTTATGATCTGGTCGTGTAAATTCAGATGGAAAAATACTAAATATACCCTGGAGAATAAGAGGTTAAAAACAAAGATATGACCTCACTAGTGGCTGTTGCATTATGAACAGACTATTGTGTGCCTACATTAAACTACACTATTAAAGGGTTCTTGAGCAAAGAAAATGGTTCTATATAGAACCATGAACACTTAAAGAACCCTTTGCATAATTAAATTGTTCTTCAGATTGATGGGGAATGAGCTGTAGACGATTCTATATAGAACCTTATTGAAAAAGGGTTTGTGACGGCATCAAGCCTGTAACAACAGAAGAACCCTTTTTGGTGCCATATAGAACCCTTTCCATAAAGGTTCTGTATAGAACCATATAAAACACATTCTCTATCAGTGTGATGAAATATTTCACGATGCAAAGAATCCTTTAATCATGCAAAGGGTTCTTTCAGTGTTCGCAGTTCTATATAGAACCATTTTCACTAAAGAACCCCTGAAGAACCACCTTTTTTTAAGTATGTAGACATATACACAGTTTTTCAGAAGTCTTTATAAGAAGATCCTCTTATATCTTACATCCCATTACCTCTTGAATGTTTATGCACTTTTAAATTCTCAGCAGCTTCATCTGCACCTCTCCCAGTCTCTACTACGACAGCAATGCCTTCATCCACTGGTGAGTCCTGGTTGTGCTTATAGATTAATGTTATTGTAAAATGTGAATCTAAAAAAATAGATACTATAGAGGTCCGGTACATATAAACTTGTTCATGCCGATATACTTGTTTGACAAGCTATGACCTAAATACATTTTACAGCTGGAACAACTCAAACTACCTGGAACTATGATGATTACATTTCATCAGATGTGAAGAGTGAGTCACTAAATCCAGATTCTAATCTTTACAACCACATTTAATACGTTTTTGATTTATTCAGAATTTTACTGATTTCTGCATCTTTCTCAGCTTCCACAGTCAGGAGAGTAACATAATATGCAGATATTAATATATATTTTTTTTTTTACTTTAAACAATTACAAATGAAATTTGAAAAAACTGGAAATATCTGCATATTTTTAGTGAATGAATTAATGAGTAACTGTTATAACTTCTCTCCTCTAGAGACCCAAGTTCACCATCCAGAAAGTGAATCAAACAGTTCTGTCACCTTTAACTAATTTAACACAATTTATCTTCATTTAATATTTTAAATCTGAAATAAATATTTGTATTTGTCCTCATAAATTCTCTCGAGCCCCATTACTGGTCTGTGTAGCTGCTCCAGGTGATGTTGTGATGGTATTTTCTGTTTTTCAAATCTACAGTTTTCCACTTATCCCAGGTGTCGTCGATCAGCCAAGACATGTTTGGCGTCCTAATTTAGCTTCTTTAGTTCAGATCAGGAGCTACGAGGCTGGTGATGCTAATAAACTCTAGAAGTCTCACCTGCAGAATCTGATTCTTCCACATGTGCAGACTTCATGCAGGTGTATGGAGGCTGAATCATGTCTGTGATGTCTGTTGTTTTTATAATATAATTCAGGTTCACTGCTCATCATTGTACTGTCAGTCACTGGTACCAGCGTCTTATTGGCTGGAGTGATGATCGTCTTTCCCTGCAGGTTTATCAGTAAGTCCATCAGCTCAGATTCACTCGTACAGTGAAGACAAAATTTCTAACAGCTGTAAAACGTACTGTGTGCAGTGAACTGTGTGGTGTTGTGGTGATTATTAAGCTGAAAGCTCAATTCTTCCATTGCAGAGAAGCAGAGGACTGACAGGTGAGACGCTGACCAATGAACTGTGCATATAAGTATAAAATCCATATTTTTGTCATTCTAGGTTCATAATAATGTCACTAGACGATGCACAAAGTTTTGATATATGCATTTATTCTTAATAGACTTAAAGTCAACTCAGCCAGAGGAGATCAGGGTATGTTTCATGACTGGAATATGAATCTATAATTACTGACAGAAACACTAAAACTAGATCATTTCTAAGGAGCCACATTCAGCTGAAATGACTGTTTTGCAGGAGACATGATGGCCGTGCTGAGTGTGGAGGAAGTGAGTGATATTTCTGTTATAATGTTGATCAAGTTGAATAAATTAATCTTTCAGATTTGCTTCATAAACATTATAAGAGTATTTTCTGCCATTTAGTTCGGTCCAGGAGCTGCTGGAACCTACTCAATGTTTACCTCAGTGACCGCACCTTACCAGCCATCAGGTAATTAACACAGTACAACAGGTCACTTACACAATGGCCTCAATTTTCAGAATTATCCTTTTATTGTAAAGTAAACTCTTTTTGGGGTTTGACGAGGAAGAGTTCCTACTTTTAGTGCTGGACTTTCTTTGAGTCCCTGTAAAACTCAGTGGTTCCACTGTTGAGGTCATTTCAGATGAATTGTGATCATCCTGACCTGCCCTCACTCACTTCCTCACTAATAAAACAGTAGCTAGTAATTTATGCATTTTTATCACAACTATTTCAGGCACTTCATGAGTGATTTGATTATGATATCCTTATTGTAAATGCAGGGCTGGGCAGTAAAGGAATATATGTACCAGTGTTACATAATCGGGATACAAAAAAGACTGTATTCTGCTACAGTTACAGTAAAAAGACAGTAATTAGATCACAGGTACATTATAAAAAGAGTGGTTTGCTGGTTTAATGATAAGTATTTCACATGTAGATTAAAGGAGTGTTTAATTTGGGAGAAGGGTGAAGAATCTCTCTCCCCAGCAGCAGTTTACAGACTTTTATTCAGCCTATCTATATGATGTTTAGTAGGCATTTTATTTTTATTGGCCGATCTGAGATCTGCAGCATTAGAAAGAAAGGTTGATCTGAATCAGGTGTTTATTCTGGATTTCCACACTGCCAGATTCTACAGCAGCAGACTGATCTGATCTGACCAGACAGTAAACTCTTTATTCTCGTTTGTTGCTCCTTAAAACTCTACAGTTTGACTGGATATGAATCAAACCTGCCAGGTTTTAACTAACCGTCTAAACCGTGAGTGAGTGCAGTCACCGAGCGGCAAAGTTGGTTTTGTTTTCACGTGTGTGGTTTATTTCTTCAGTAGTTTTTGAACGATGCGTGAAAATGTTAAAATTTGTAAATGATCTTTATGTGTCACTAAGACAATCAGCGTCCTCTTAATTTTTGAGTGAAATTAATGGCTTTTTAAGCTCATATAACACGTTCTGAGAGCTGATTAGGGACCGTCTACAAACCACCGTCATCATCAAGTTTGAGAATCACGCTCCGACATGAAACCTGATGATCCAGTACAGCATTTTAGCAGATAGAACACACATGATGGCCAGTCAGAGTGTTTAGATGTGCCTCTATTTATGGTTATTGTTGATGAGGGGTCTCAAATGAAGATTTGTACCAGGACAGCAGTTTAATATTGAATTATATCTAATGTACTGGATCACTTTACATTAATCACCTGCTCCATTGTGTTTCAGTCTCAGAACTTTTAGTCTCAGTGTACCAATTAAAAAAATCCTGTTAAAATAATTCGATTTCTGATCTTCAGGATTTGAGTGCACATGTTTAAACTGAATAAATTATACTGTTTTACAAATTTGCCATCTTTATGTTTTAAATATTTCCATTTATTGCTCCACTTAGATTTGGTCGTTCTGCTAAATGTGAGACCAGTTACGGTCAACAACAGACAAATAATCCAAAAGTAACAGGAAATAATCAGATTGCATCACTTTAATATATTAATCCTTTGGATTAGGTTTCAGTTGCATTTTTAATAGGTAATCTATAATAATCTGTAATAGAATACATTGTTGAAGTAAAAACTGGTGTGACTTTGCAGGTTTACAGGTTTGCTCTCATTACATTTATGTATCAACAAGACATTTTACTCTACACTCAGCTCCTTCACTTCACTACACGAGTAACACTGTAGAGTGAATGATTAAACTTCAGACTCGTCCATTACAGGTGCTGATAGGACAGTTTACACAGTGGTGATCTACAGCCTGTCCACCCAAAAACAGAAATCCTTCAGCTTCTTCTGAAAGATGGATGACACACAGAAAACTGGTCCTTTACAGGGGAACTCCACCACTTTTCCAAAATCGCATATTTAAGTGGTTCAGATGTAAACAGAGTGATTCAGAGTGGTTTGGTGTGAAACACTCTGTTCTAGAGGAACTTACAGAGTCAGAATTGTTCACAGTGGTGGTGATAGGAACCAGACGTCTGAAGAGTTTGATGTTCACTGGTGGTTTTGGATAGTAAATAAAATGTCTATATTTGTGTTGTAGTCATGGCGACCCCTGGTTCCTATCACCACCACTGTAAAGGAATCTGAGTCCCTACAATCAACCATTTCACACCAAACCACCATTTGTCCATTGGTCAAGAAATTTTAATAAAATGTTTTAATATAATAAATATTTTGTTCCAGCAACGTTATGTACATTTTACAGTCTGATTGACTGAATGTAACTTCTCGGAACGGAAGTCATTGTCTCCAGATTTGAGTTTGAATTCCTTTGTGAAATATGATGGAAAGATTTGCTAAAACATTAATGTACATTATTATGTTTTGTACAGATGTGTCTCCAGCTGTTTGGTCTGATTGGACTGATATGACTTTGTGAAACTGCAGTTAAGCTCTCTTTAAATTTCTGTATCAGTAAAACATTTTCAGCTTCCTTCTACACTTTGACTACACTAGTAATATAGAGTGAAAGGTCAATCTTACCTTCTGTGTAAAGACTGTCGATGGGACAGTTTAAACAGCAGATCTACACCATGCTGGATAAATCTACCCATAATCCTCTGGGTTAAGGTTGATTTATTATCATTTATGATCCGTAATTCCTATAAATTTACTGTTGTGAGATCCTACATGAAACTAAATGTATTTGACAGTGTTGTATTATGAATCAGTGCCTTGCATTGAATTAATATTACAATTGCATGATGTATTATAGAAACATTAAGTCATCTACATTAATAATATATTTCAATTAATAATAAACTATTTCAAAGTACAATAAAAGTTGTCATTCAATTCTCTGTATTTGTACTGTGTGAGAGTGAAATGAAAGTGTTTCTGCTGGAAAGTGTGAGAATGTTCAGTTGGTGTGATGTGGTTAAGAGGGAGCTGTGTGGACTGAAACTGCTCTGCTAAGTTGGTTCATTGTGTATTGGTTTAAAAAAAGCCCACCAACACCAGTGAGGCTCCGGAGAGCAGCAGGGTGCTAAATATGTGGTTTATTCTCGGGGGGGCTTTTAAAGCTACATTTGATGTTTATGTTCTATGTTCTATCTTGAAATGTTTAAAAATCTGTCTGCTTTTTACAGCCGTACAATCCAGTTAAAATCTCCAAATGATACTAATCTTCTGCTACTTACAGTAGAACCCTGTACAGAGGAGAATGTTGCAGGTGGAACTTTGATGTATATACAATGAACATTGACATATATACAATGAACATTGATATATATGGAATGAACATTGATATATATACAATGAACATTGATATATATGGAATGAACTTTGATCTATATACAATGAACATTGATATATATGGAATGAACTTTGATATATATGGAATGAACTTTGATCTATATACAATGAACATTGATATATATATGGAATGAACATTGACATATATACAATGAACATTGATATATATTGAATGAACATTGATATATATGGAATGAAAGTCACTGTTGAAGGGTTGAGGATGGCCAAGAGAAACTGTGCATCAATAAATGGGCATTAACAAACTCCAGGTGGAGCTTAAAGGAAGGGAATTCTGATAAAGTGACCGGTATCTATACACATTGATCCTGTGGACAGAGTGACCTGAGAGTGGCTGATATATGATATGAAGCTACAGATGGGTGGATCTTCAATATATACATAATTTGACATGGTGCAGAAGAAGAGTCAGCTGAGGCCATAACTTCTGTTTGAAAAATGCTCTTTTATTGAGAGCGAGGGAAAACAGTGCCACTTGAAAAGCAACTGAAAATTGAGGTAGGTCACTCCTAGCCCTGCTCTTTCTTCTGAGGGTCACCAAACACAAACACACTCTCACTAACTCTGAGCTGGACACAAAATAACAGAGTAAACACAAACACACACTGTAAGTGAAGAACAACAACATAGCAACATATATATATATATATATATATATATATATATATATATATATATATATATATATATATATATATATATATATATACATATACACATACAAACAAACAAACAAACAAACACACACACATATATATATATATATATATATATATAGTTACGTTCCTTCCTAAGGGTATAAAACATTAATGTACATTATGATGTTTTGTACAGATGTGTCTCCAGCTGTTTGGTCTGATTGGACTGATATGACTTTGTGAAACTGCAGTTAAGCTCTCTTTAAATTTCTGTATCAGTAAAACATTTTCAGCTTCCTTCTACACTTTGACTACACTAGTAATATAGAGTGAAAGGTCAATCTTACCTTCTGTGTAAAGACTGTCGATGGGACAGTTTAAACAGCAGATCTACACCATACTGGATAAATCTACCCATAATCCTCTGGGTTAAGGTTGATTTATTATCATTTATGATCCGTAATTCCTATAAATTTACTGTTGTGAGATCCTACATGAAACTAAATGTATTTGACAGTGTTGTATTATGAATCGGTGCCTTACATTGAGTTAATATTACAATTGCATGATGTATTATAGAAACATTAAGTCATCTACATTAATAATATATTTCAATTAATAATAAACTATTATATATTAGTATAATAAAAGTTGTCATTCAATTCTCTGTATTTGTACTGTGTGAGAGTGAAATGAAAGTGTTTCTGCTGGAAAGCGTGAGAATGTTCAGTTGGTGTGATGTGGTTAAGAGGGAGCTGTGTGGACTGAAACTGCTCTGCTAAGGTGGTTCATTGTGTATTGGTTTAAAAAAAGCCCACCGACACCTGTGAGCAGCAGGGTGCTAAATATGTGGTTTATTCTCTTGTGCTGGGAGGACTGCTGCCTTAAGTTTAATTATTTATAATTAATATAATTATATATTTATATAATTATAATTACAATTATAATTATAAATAATAATAATAATAATAATAATAATAATAATAATATTATTATTATTATTATTATTATTATTATTATTATTATTATTATTATTAAGTATTATTATTATTATTATTATTATTATTATTATTATTATTATTATTGTTATTATTATTATTATTATTATTATATAATTATAATTGTTATTATGATTTTTTTTCTGATAAAATTTGCTGAACTTCATATAATCAGCGAATTGGTCATTAAGGCAGGTTTGAAATGTTTAAAAAACTTTTGACTTTATGCAGTTTTTTTCTCATTATTTTTGTACAACACTGACAGAAATGAATATCGTATAGAGTTGTGCCTCGTTGGTCTTTTGGTGCTGTTCACCCCAGAAGAGAGTGATCAATTCGCATAACAACAAATTCAATATCATTACCTTATCAAAGAATCATTTCAAATATAGCACAGTATTAATAGACCGTTTCAAAATCAATCAGCTGTTTTACAACAAGCTTTACAACAAAGATGTGTGTAATAAAGGTGTGTCTCCTCTGACACGCTGCAGGTAGAGCTTTCTAATTCTGTATAATGCAGTGTGTCTCTTAGATAGCAGTGTGTCATATCTGTGATTAATAAACAGCTCAGATTTACTTCATAAACTGTCTTTTGTTTTGATGTAAGTATCTTGAAATTCTTCTCTGTAATATTTAAAACAAACACACCATAAAATATATAGTTTGCAGGGTTACATGGCATAAGCAGTTAATAATGAATTTCATATATCATTCACACCTGTTACAATCGCCTCTCATACAGCTGTAATAATTCAAGTCAGAATTCAGCAGATTCTCACTGGCTGTTCACAGCACAGTCAATGCACCGACTGCAGTATCAGTGTATTAAAAAACATTCTTTTTCTTTTATGATTTGATATCACAGTTTTGTTTTATGCAAATTGTTTTTTAACAATGAATGTTTTAAAGCATATTTTCTAGACTCTGGATCCTCTGGATCTCCTTTTCTTTCCCAGATTCTCCTTCATTATCAGCTCTGTCTGTTATAACAGAAGAGAAATTTGTATGTTGTATGTTTCTGTATTTTAACTCCACTGTAAGTCTTCAGTCTACAGTCCTGTAAAACGATCAGTCTCATGAAAACAGTTGAGAGTCTGTGGACTCTTTGTAGTGTAAGTTACAGCAAAGTCTTTGTTTTAATAACAGTGACTTTGCAACAGTTTATAATACAAAGTAGTTTTCTTTATTATCATCACGAGTTCAGTAAAAGGTTCAAACTTCATGAACTCTGATGAATTAGTGAGGGAGCTGACAGACACAGACGAATCCAATACAATACAAAAGTGTACTGAGCAATGAACAGACACGGAAACATATACTCATATATATATATATATATATATATATATACTAGCATATTAGCTCATTATTTATACTAGATTTCAAACATTAATATGGTAGAACAGGTTAAGATATCAGATGGTATTTTAAGATTTTAACCAGATTCCATATGTTGTTGAAACACAACATCTGCAGCAAATTGTTTTAAAAAGCAACATTTTAACATTTGAATAAGAAAATAATCTTAATTTGTACAAGGGTGCCCAAACGTCTGCATATAGATGTTCAATATAAAGTGTTCTAGATATTGTTTTTATTATATCCATATTCATATTATTCTACACTTTCCTCAGTCATTATGACATCATAAGTGTAAGTGGTTTAATATTATTGAAAACAGTGATTCCACACTTTTCAATGTAGATGTTCACTCCAAATCAAATCTGTGTGCAGAGTGTTAGAAAAATATATGTTTAAGAACCATTTTAACCGTATAAGTGTCATACAGACAGTGTCACTCAATCTGATTATCTACACCAACCACTGTTCTATTCAGAACAGTTTGGTGTCTTTATTTCACTGTAAACTGTATAAATGGGAAATGATGCTGTGTTTCTGTAGAGCAGATAATATTCACATATTAAAGCTTTAGCGATGTGGGAGATGATCAGTGTTCTGAACCTGTGTGAAGAGCTGACCAGAGAAGGGAATTTTGAATTCAAAAAAGGAGGAGTGGTCGCTCTGTGATCTGTGTGAGTCGAGTGTCTCTCTTCTCTCTTGGCGATGGTGAAATGGCTCTGATCATCCTCCTCTCCTTCTGTCTGATTCTGGAAGTTCATCCTCAACGTGAGTCACTGACCAGTTTTCTCTCTGTGTTGCCTTTGTTTGATGATAAGTAACTGCAGACTTTAATGAAATGTTCACTGTAAAAGTGTCACTGGTGTGGATGAACTGTAACATCTGATAATGTGGTGGTGATCAGCGACACAATCAGACACTTAGGCATTTAGACCGAGGATTAGATTACAATGGAAGTATTAATGAGCTACATTCTGAAATTAGTAAATATACTAGTATAGTAACTATACTATCCAGTGTGTATCCAGTGTGAACTGTTTGATGGTCTGTGTGTTGCAGATGTCTCTCAGCCTCAGCTGGTGGTCTCTTCTACAGAGAGAGGTTCAGTACAGCTGGACTGTAAGACTCCGTATGCTGGAGTGTCTCAGTGTTTTTTCTATCCAGAGAGAGATGATAAAAATGTAAAACTCTCTCCATCCTGTCAGCTCTCACTCACTGGCTCTGAACTGACCAGGTGGACAGGACGCAGTTACAGTTCACCTGAACCAGTCAGTGTTATTTGTTACTACACTGTGAGTGAATCAGGACTTTATAAACCTTCTCCTCGCTCTCTACCAGCTACAGTCACAGTCCTGGGTGAGATACTGACTCAGTTTTGTTCATGAGTGTCACTGTCTGCTTAAATCAAACCATTTCTACCAAACTGAAGGGTTTACAATCAAGAGTTTTGCTAGTTTTTCACTCATCATTTGTGTTTTATGGTGTTATTTATTCCTGTGCAGATAAGAAACCAAAAATAGCTGTCCGTTATGACAGTCAGTATGAAGAGTTCACAGCTGTGTGTGAAATACCGCTGTCAGGGTCAGTAAGAGCTGATTTTAGATGTAATCTCTACACTGGACACCTGCTGTACCTAAAGGGAGAATCTAAAAGAGGGAACTCTGGGAAGTGGAGTTGTGTTTTTACAGCATCTAAAACTGACCTGTTGAATCGTCTGCAGTCAGTAAAGAGCAGAGGAGTGAGCTGTGATTATTCACTAAACTCTGACCCGTCCGCCCGCTCTCCAATGAGTCACACATATGATATATTAAGTAAGTACATCAGCTCATATGTGCATTATTTTATAAATTTTTATTGTGTTCATTAAATTCTACATTAACATAACAATCCCAGATGTGTCTTCTAGAACTGTTTGTGTTTCTTTTAGATTTGCTCCCTACACCAGCACAGCCGTCCATAACAGGAGAGAAATCTGCTGCAGGTCAGCTTATTCTTCTCTCTCTCACTGTAGAACTCAGTTAGAATATCAGAGCTGCTCTTTATGATCTACTGTCTGATTCTCTCTGCAGCTTCTTTAGTTTCCTCTGCACGTCTGATCACCACAACAGACCCCAAAACTAGTGAGTAACAAGTTTTCTTACAGGATTATTCCTCCTACAAAAACTCCAACCCTAAGAAACACTTCAACACTTTAACCCTTCCTTCTTATAAACTCTGCAGTGTGTATGTTTGACATGTTTGTGTGTTGTTTTCTAAACAGGTCTGTCACCTTTAACAGAGTTACCTGTAGACTCTAGTTTGGCTCTAGTTAGCCTGTGAGTTACTGCTTAAATCCTCACTACCTGGACATAAATCTCAAGATAAATAGTTTGCAAGAATCCAGTCTAATTCAGCATAAATTAAACAGCCAAAGTTGTGGTTCTCAGATTATCACTGTGGAGCCAGTAAACACTTGATTACATGATTATAGAGTGTTTTATCCCAAACAGCTTCCAGTGTTAAACTAATCTTTTTTTAGTCACTGTTTAGTTATTTAGTTTGATTTACTGAGACTGTATGAAAGGATAGATATGATAATAATACCATCTCTTATTATTAATATCTGTCATAACCTCTCTTCTCTCCTCAAGCTGTAAGTACCCACGTTACCCATCAGCATCAGAATTTAACAGATCCTCCAAAAAGTGAGTCACTTTACCAGCCATTAATATCACATTTCAGAAAAAAGATCTTTAGAAAGTCTAATGACTCAGTGTCTGTGCATTATGATCAGACTACAGTGAGCATATCAGTGCTGTCAGAACAAAACCTCATCTCTCCATTTTTCACGTTTTTGGCTTTTGACATGATTTGAAAACAACTACCTTCCTATATATTGTGTGAAAATTTCATGATGAATGGACTTAAAGAAACGGCCCAAAATGACTTGGAAAAAAGTCTGGTTCCATTGACTTACATTAAAAGTACAGTATGTCTTTCCTTCTCCTGTAAAGTTACCATTTTCCACATACAAGCTTTCATTCTGACCGCAGTGATATGTTAATCAGGACACACACAGCCTTTACAGAAGTCTTTATTAGAAGAAGCTCTTATGTATTACTTCCTGTTCCATCTTACAGATGTGTTTTATGAAGATGTTCAAATTTATTCTCAACAACTTCTGCAATTCTCCCATTCCAGACTGAGACAGTTTCACCCACTTGTGAGTCCCAGCTGTGTTTACAGATTAATGTTACTGTAAAATGTTAATGTAAATCAATAGAAATGTCTACAATTCGTACTATCAGTTATTAGTAGAGATCCAGTACAAATAAACTTGATCATGTTGACAAATTTGTGTGAAAATGTATACATTATATATATATATATATATATATATATATATATATATATATATACTTTTTTTTCATTTTACAGCTGCAGCAACTCAAACTACCAGGCACTATGATGATTACAGATCATCAGATGTGAAGAGTGAGTCACTAAATTCAGTCTCTAATATTTACAACCACATTTAATACGTTTTTGATTTATTCAGAATTTTACTGATTTTACTGATCTTTCTCAGCTTCCACAGTCAGGAGAGTAACATCAGATAATACATCAGTAAAACATCCCAGCACAGGTAAATAACTGAATAACTAGTGAATCAAATATTATGCAGACATTAATATTACATTTTTACTTTAAATTAATTACTATTGACATTTGAAATAACTGCAAATATCTGAACATGTTTAGTGAAAGAATTAATGAGTAACTGTTATAATGTCTCTCCTCTAGAGACCCAAGTTCACCATCCAGAAAGTGAGTCATCTTATCAGCCATTAATATCACACATTTAACTAATTTAACTCAATTTATCTTAATATTTTAAATTTGAAATAAATATTTGTTTTTGTCCTCATATTTCAACTCGAGCCCCATTACTGGTCTGTGTAGCTGCTCCAGGTGATGTTGTGATGGTATTTTCTGTTTTTCAAATCTACAGTTTTCCACTTATCCCAGGTGTCGTCAATCAGCCAAGACATGATTGGAGTCCTAATTTAGCTTCTTTAGTTCAGATCAGGAGCTACGAGGCTGGTGATGCTAATAAACTCTAGAAGTCTCACCTGCAGAATCTGATTCTTCCACATGTGCAGACTTCATGCAGGTGTATGGAGGCTGAATCATGTCTGTGATTTCTGTTGTTTTTCTATTATAATTCAGGTTCACTGCTCATCATTGTCCTGTCAGTCACTGGTACCAGCGTCTTACTGGCTGGAGTGATGATCGTCTTTCCCTGCAGGTTTATCAGTAAGTCCATCAGCTCAGATTCACTCGTACAGTGAAGACAAAATTTCTAACAGCTGTAAAACGTACTGTGTGCAGTGAACTGTGTGGTGTTGTGGTGATTATTAAGCTGAAAGCTCAATTCTTCCATTGCAGAGAAGCAGAGGACTGACAGGTGAGACGCTGACCAATGAACTGTGCATATAAGTATAAAATCCATATTTTTGTGTCATTCTAGGTTCATAATAATGTCACTATATGATGCACAAAGTTTTGATATATGCATTTATTCTTAATAGACTTAAAGTCAACTCAGCCAGAGGAGATCAGGGTATGTTTCATTACTGGAATATGAATCTATAATTACTGACAGAAACACTAAAACTAGATCATTTCTAAGGAGCCACATTCAGCTGAAATGACTGTTTTGCAGGAGACATGATGGCCGTGCTGAGTGTGGAGGAAGTGAGTGACATTTCTGTTATAATGTTGATCAAGTTGAATAAATGAATCTTTCAGATTTGCTTCATAAACGTTATAAGAGTATTTTCTGCTATTCAGTTCGGTCCAGGAGCTGCTGGAACCTACTCAGTGTTTACCTCAGTGACCGCACCTTACCAGCCATCAGGTAATTCACACAGAACAACAGGTCACTTACACAATGGCCTCAATTTTCAGTCGAGGGTTTCACCTCATAATTATCCTTTCATTTTAAAGTTCACTGTTTTTGGGGTTTGACAAGGAAGAGTTCCTACTTTTAGTGCTGGACTTTCTTTGAGTCCCTGTAAAACTCAGTGGTTCCACTGTTGAGGTCATTTCAAATGAATTGTGATCATCCTGACCTGCCCTCACTCACTTCTTCACTAATTGTGAATCTACACATTTCATAACTGATAAATCATATGACACCTGCATCTGTAAACGTGAAGGACACAGAAACAAGATGAGGATACAAAAGTTCAGAGTTCACTAAGAATATGAAACAAATCCAGTCCTAGTCCAGTTCCAGCAGGGCCGGGAATCTATCCTGACATTTGGGAATCGAGAGCTGATCTGCAAAACTCTGGACTCGATTCCACAGTGATGTTCATGTTTGCCCAAACCTGCAAAATCAACATTATACTGATGAAGATTTGATGACAATAGTAGATAATTCACTCACAACCTCAGAGACGCTCCTTCACCAAGTTTAGACTGAGTTCTCTTTGGATTCTCTTTCAATGATCAGATTCATCCCCTCGGGGACGGGGGCCGAAACACAACCCATGTTACAAAATGTTCTTCCACATGTTAGATGCAACTACACATTACCACCACAGAGGTCTCCAAATCCTCCAAGTGAATAATGTGGTTACAATATGGACAACATATAAAACTCATCAGCTTTCAGGAATTTTTAGAATATATTAAACAGGATAAGAGACACACTGACTGTTTAATATTTAAATGTGTTTGAACACTGAACAGAATCATGCTTTATTTTTCTTTTAACTACTTAACTGTAGAAATATATTGTGTAATATCCCAGTATTTAATCATGAGCTCTCCTGCTGTATAAAATACTATATGAAAGATATAAGGAGCTGCTAAAACACTCATCTTTACCCCGTGTACGACTGTGTCTCCTGCTGTTTGGTTTGATTGGACTGATGATGGTGTGTTTTTTTCATGTTTGCTCTCATTAAATTACTTTACAAGTCATTTTTCATTCAGTCTCTACACTCAGCTCCTTCACTTCAGTACACGAGTAACACTGTAGAGTGAATGACTAAACTTCAGACTCGTCCATTACAGGTGCTGATCAGACAGTTTACACAGTGGTGATCTACAGTCTGTCCACCCAAAAACAGAAACCCTTCAGCTTCTTCTGAAAGATGGATGACGCACAGAAAACTGGTCCTTTACAGGGGAACTCCACCACTTTTCCAAAATCGCATATTTAAGTGGTTAAGATGTAAACAGAGTCATTCAGAGTGGTTTGGTGTGAAACGCTCTGTTCTAAAGAAACTTACAGAGTCAGAACTGTTCACAGTGGTAGTGACAGGAACCAGACGTCTGAAGAGTTTAATGTTCACTGGTGGTTTTAGATAGTAAATAAAATGGCTATATTTGTGTTGTAGTCATGGCAACCACTGGTTCCTATCACCACCACTGTAAAGACATCTGAGTCTCTACAATCAACCGTTTCACACCAAACCACTCTGAATGACTGTTTCTGACTGCATCTCAACCACTGAAGAAAAAAACTGGCCTGTTTACAAAAGTTATTTTATTGTGTATTTTAATGTTGCTGTTGTGACAAAAACCTCCATTTTTGTCTCTTTTGCCTTTTTTTGGTTATTAAAAAAAATTATGTATAAATTTCAAATCTAAAAAATGGTCCATTTACTTGGAAAACAATGTAGTTACACTATTTGAAAAATTAGTTAATCTCAGCAAAAGAACAGACATCATGAGCTAAAATTTGCTGAAAAATATGACCTTTAAGTTTGTTCCGTGTGGAGGATTTGCTACTTATTTTTTACTTTAGCAAAACACATAATTGAGCAGATGTGTTCAAATGTTTGAATATGACTGTGTATACAATTTTACATCAATGTAAACTTATTAATAAATATTTGGAAAGTCACTGAATGTGTCTGATTGTCTGGTAACTGGTTGAGAAGTTTATAAAGTGAAACTGCTAAAGTTGAGTTTCTTGTTGAAGGTATTTTGGAAGCACAGTTTCACCACAGAGTATTTTAAAGCAGAACTCAGTCAGGCTGCAGTTTATTTAGAGCTGATATTTATTTTTAAAGCTGCACTTTTGATGTTCATGTTCTGTAAAATGACTTCACCGAACTTTAAATATACAGAGACAGAAAGTACCAACCAGCTTTCAGTGTCCACCACAGAAATTCTGATGAAACATGGTCTTTCCTCCCTGATTTGAAGACTGATTTTGAAGTCTTACAATTTGTTTTAACCCCTAAATGGTCAGGGCCCACCGACAGGCCCAAAGATTTAATACACACTTCTATAACCTAAGAATAGCTCAGCCAGTTTGCACTGAAGTCCCTGCAGTTACTGAACAATGAGCCTTAGTATTTAATAAACCTGAGATTTAAAGAGGTTAAAGAACTTATAATTCATAATTTTGAATTGAATATAGTAAAAAGAAGAAGAAAAACTTTCTAAATGAGTCAGAAATTAGTTCAGGAATAAATGTTTACATCCTATGTCTTTAAACTAATATTTTATTTCAAAAGGCATAAGACAAACTATTAACATTGGTTTAAAATTAGCCTCCGACTCATACCTGTCGACACAGTGCACAAATTGTTGAACTCTGTTCATTGGTCTTTGGAACATTTCTCTTCAAAATATGCTTTGTATTGTAATTAAAAGAAGAAGTAAAAAAAAAACAATACTTTATAAAACTACCATAAATAAATATGGATTGTTGTTCAATGTTGACAATATGGTTATTTCATCAGTGCAATACTAAACAATTAAAATATCACTTTTACCACTTGGAGACATTTTTTCCCAATAAAATGTGAAAGTACACACAAAACTATCTTCCAATTCTTATCCAGGTTCATAACAGCTTTGGTTCTTAAAATGTCTTAATTATGGACCTAATAGTGAAGGATTGACAGAACAATTTCTATGAATACTAATGACTGTAACATGTTCTTTTATAAAAATATTTGTTATAATTTTATAAATTAATTATGTAATTTTATTTAAATATTTTTTGGTGTTTAAAAAGTTTTCTCAATGAAAGGCTTGATTTCTTGATTTCTCAAGCTGATGAATAACAGTGCATTTCTTTATTAAAGGATGATTTATGTAAACACTGTACTTGTGTAACATGTTATAACAGTACTTTAACATGCAATGTCAGAGCTTTAATGTCCTCTGGTGGACAACATGAGTTCCTCCTCTTCTTGAGGAGAGAGTGGTGGAGGTGCAGATAGAACAGGAAGTGGAAGTGACTTTTTTTTGTCAATACAATAATATAATAAGAAAACAGTTTCTCTACTTACAGTCTGTCATTTTTTTTAATTATTTGTGTGTTGTACAGACAGTCTCACTGCTGAAATACACAAACCACTGCACTGCATTCAGAACAGTTTGGTGTCATTATTTCACTGTAACTGTATAAATGGTAAATGGTAGAATTCAGTAGAGCAGGTAATATTCACATATTACAGCTAGTGATTTACTTTAGTGATGTGTGAGATGTTCAGGACTGAAAGTGAGGAGCTGAAGGGGAAACTAATTTTCCGTTTTAAAACCAGAAGTGATCAGCGGTGGTTTTCCTGTCGCTCTGTGATCTGTGTGAGTCGAGTGTCTCTCTTCTCTCTTGGTGATGGTGAAATGGCTCTGATCATCCTCCTCTCCTTCTGTCTGATTCTGGAAGTTCATCCTCAACGTGAGTCTCATTCACCAGTTTGTGTATTTGATCCATTACTTTTTTTTAAATAAGTAAACAAATAACTGCAGCAAACTGAAAGCTTTAATGTAATGCAGACTATAAAAAGTGTCACTGCGATGGAAGAACTGTAACATCTTATAATATGATGGTGCTCCGTGACACAATCAGACATTTGCAGTAGATTTCTCTAATTTCTACTTTTTCTATATCTACAGCTGTGTTTTCTTTCAGACAGAAATGAGCTGACATTGTTATATCCAGTGTGTATCCAGTGTGAACTCGTTGATGGTCTGTATGTTGCAGATGTCTCTCAGCCCCAGCTGGTGGTCTCTTCTACAGAGAGAGGGTCAGTACAGCTGGACTGTAAGACTCCGTATGCTGGAGTGTCTCTGTGTCATTTCTATCCAGAGAGAGATTATAAAAATGTAAAACTCTCTCCATCCTGTCAGCTCTCACTCACTGACTCTGAACTGACCAGGTGGACAGGACACAGTTACAGGTCACCTGAACCAGTCCGTGTTATTTGTTACTACAATGTGAGTGAATCAGGACTTTCTAAACCTTCTCCTCACTCTCTACCAGCTACAGTCACAGTCCTGGGTAAGATACTGAGTTTTGTATAGTGTGTTAGTGTCTCCTTATATCAAATGATTTCGAATTGACTGTTCTAATGAATTATTTCACATGATTGCTCTAGCAGTTATTCACACACCAAGATTCTGTAATGGTGTTATTTATCACTTTGCAGATCAGAAACCAGGAATGAGTGTCCGTTATGACAGTCAGTATGAAGAGTTCACAGCTGTGTGTGAAATACCGCTGTCAGGGTCAGTAAGAGCTGATTTTAGATGTAATCTCTACACTGGACACCTGCTGTACCTAAAGGGAGAATCTAGAAGAGGGAACTCTGTGAAGTGGAGTTGTGTTTTTACAGCATCTAAAACTGACCTGTTGAATCGTCTGCAGTCAGTAAAGAGCAGAGAACTGAGCTGTGATTATTCACTAAACTCTGACCCGTCCGCCCGCTCTCCAATGAGTGATACATATGATATATTGAGTAAGTACATCAGCTCATATGTGCATTATTTCTACACTTGTAGTGTGTTTATTTTATTCTGCATTAATGTTATGATTAAATGTATTTCCTGTTTTTAAGTTTTTAAGTGTTTCGTTTAGATTTAATTCCTGTACCAACACAGCCGTCCATAACAGAAGAGAAATCTACTGCAGGTTAGATCTTCCTTCAGCTTCCACAGTTTACTTGGAATAAGAAGGACCACCCTTTATAATGTATTGTGTATTATATGTGCAGTTTCTTTAGTTTCCTCCACACTCATCACCACAAAAGGCCCAACAACTAGTGAGTAACAAGTTTTCTTGCATAATTTTCCACTTACAAATACTCTGCTAACATTTCTAGGAAATGCTTTAATGATTCCTTTCACAAACATATCTGTTTAAGATGTTTCTGTGTTGTATTCTAAACAGCTGTGTCACTCTTAACAGGGTTACCTGTAGTTCCCAGTTCATCTATTGTGACCAAAATGTCCACTATAGCCAGTGAGTTATTGATTCAGTCCTTACTAAACTCAAAATAAACTGCAAGATAAATAGTTTACAAGCATCCATTCTTATTCAGCATAAATTAAATAGTCAAAGTTAAGAAATAAAGTTCTTACATGTCTCTGAGCTTCTCAAATCAGAGCCAGTAATGTCTTATTTATACTGTACATTTTGTCCCAAACACTGTTAATCATCACTGTCAGAATTCAATAATTCCCCCTAAAATGAGTCACCTGTCTAAGTGAGTTAATTTCACATTTAAAAACTCTTTAACTCAGTGGAACCACTGGTGGTTCCAAAGCGCACTTCGTCGTATTCTTTACTTCATAACTTTCATATTTCATAAGCTACATTCTAAAGGTGGGGGTCGTATGAGAGCTGTAACTGTCTTCTTTCCAGTCAAATAGATGGGTGATGTCATTTTAAACCCTTATAATAAAAGAAGCTAAACTCACATTTTTTTTTCTACTGAAAGTCGACCCGTTTTTCCACAAATCTGGGCTATAAACTATAAACAGATGGCGTCTCTTCAGTGATCTGCTCTGTAAAAATTATTTTAATAAAAAAAATACAAAGAGTCTCAGACTTTTGGCTTTCAGCAATAAATTGTAAGCATATAGCAATATGTTTCTGATCATAAAACACATTTTTTGTTAATTTAAGGGGAGCTTTTACAAAAAACAAACAAACAAACAAACAAACAAACAAAACTTTACTATTATTTTATACAGTTACTGAATAATTTACCTTATGATCTGGTCGTGTAAATTCAGATGGAAAAATACTAAATATACCCTGGAGAATAAGAGGTTAAAAACAAAGATATGACCTCACTAGTGGCTGTTGCATTATGAACAGACTATTGTGTGCCTACATTAAACTACACTATTAAAGGGTTCTTGAGCAAAGAAAATGGTTCTATATAGAACCATGAACACTTAAAGAACCCTTT